ATTATCGTGCCGATGAAACCGGCAATTATCCTTCGACATGACCGGAGACATCGGCTAAAAAATGATGGTCGCGATCGTGAAACGCAGAAGAGTGCGGCACAGCTGTTGCACCCACTGACCCAAATACGCTGCGGCGATTCTCGCGGTGGTGCGTACGCACGCACGGCACGCGTGTGTGGGTGTCAAGTTCGCGAGAGTGAGCGCGGTTACGTTGCAGGGGCAGTTTATCACGCGCCGAGGCCGGGATTGCCGGGACGACAAACCAGCGATTGCCCAACTTATTATTGGTTATTGATCGGTTATTTATTCAAATGAATGCAGATTACCGTGGCGGGTTTTCAATGCTCCGCCAGTTAGCGGGCGCAATGAATAAATTGCTACCGGGCGCGCGCGCGCCGGTACTTAGCGTCGTGCTCCTTCGAGGTCCGCTTTCTCAATGATACCGAGCTTGCACGCCCGAATATCAATTCGCCGGCCGCGGCGTGCGGGAGAACCTCGCGGACCCGTAAATTATTTCGATCTTTCGCGCGCCACGGCAAGTCGCGTCGACGATCTGCCGCTCGACACTGCACGCGAGTCGCTTGCAAAATGCGACTTCAATCGCGAGTCACTTTTCCGAGTTGTGTTCTAGGTGTTTTAAGGATAGCGGAGAATCGCCGAATTTCTCGACGACGTTATAATAACGTGCTCTGTAATTATATGATTATATATACGGAGAAGACGTTTTTTAGATTTAGTACTGCTACTTGTTCGACCTGGATTTTGGTTTCGAGGAACAACATTAATATTATGAGACATAATTTCTATATTCAATAAAAATGTTGTCTCATTAAAAGGAAAAAGTACCAATGCCCGAACATGTCCTCACAACTTAACATTTTTATTATTTTGGTCTTTAAATATTTATGCATAACCAAAGTAATGAGAAGTTACGGAATTCTAGTATTTTTACCTTATATTAAAGCATGTTGTTCAATGAAAAAATATTATTTGACACGCTATTTGATACGAAATCAACGTATTTTATGAACTAGTTATTATATATGTTTGATTGAAAATTCATAAGTAAGATGATGATCATGTGTTCAGTCTTGATTAAAGAGATGAAACGTGGTCGAGTTTTTCTCAAATTCGTCCTGACGAAAGACTGAAGGACTTCTCACCGTGATTCACATTCAAGACATACGTTTCTCAAACCACTTGACCGTCTGAGATAGCAACGTGCAGCAGCATATCGACTGTCTTTGATGTGCGGCTTGCGTTTTATCCCCGTGGATTTCGTAAATCTCTCGACGACCTCGCCTAACTCCGCGTCCTCGCGCGTCTCCGCCGTCGCATAAACACTCGTGAAACACGGCATTGCCGTGCCGTGCCGTCCCACACGGTTACGCGCATCGGACGCCATGAGAGGTGCGAATCTTCGTGCCCTCAAAAGGCCCATTCCTCATCCACCGCCGTCTCGGATCGGCGTCCTCGTCGTCGCCGCCGCCGCCGCCGCCGCCTCCTCCTCTTGCTTGCCCCCCTTCGTTCCCTCTCACGGACGCTGCGTTCTCTTGGCCACGCCGCAACCGAGGTATCGTCCCGAAGAGAGCCGCCGATGCGCATCCCACGCGCATGAATTAAAGGCTGCGCTCTCGGCTGGTTAGTCTTGATTTATCCCCGAGCATCGGTCTTCCCTCTTCTTTTGTTTCGTCGCTCCTCTCGGCCTCCCCTCTGCCCTCACCTCTGCTCCCTCCCCTTCTTCTCCTCCTGCTCTTCCTCCAGAGCCGTCGCGCGGCGCTCGGTGCACCTACGAGAGATGCCTTCTTCGGCCCACCTCGTGCCTCTCCTCCCGTCTTTAGTCTCTCTTTCTCTCTGTCTCCCTCCTCGCCCCGCGGTTGCCCTTTCGTAATAATCCCGCGAGAACTCGGGGCCCCGTCCCTAACAAATGCGCTGTTTTCAGTGTGCCGTGAGCGCGCAGTCATCCCGCAGGACCTCACGACGTGGCGGCCATTAGTTTAACCGGGAAACGTGATGGAAAGGTTGCCTGCGTGCCGGCATAACGCCAGCTAACAAACATTGTTGTGACTTCCACGGGGTGAAACCGGGTATCCGTCATCTCGCTGATCTCGCTCGGCTGCTTCTTCTTCGTCTTCTTCGTCTCCTCCTCGCCCGGTTCTCCTCCTTCCGCGCGCGCGCTTCTCTCCTCTCTTCTCCCCTCTGGCCGCCTCCTCCCGCTCCTCCCCTCGACTTCCACAATCACCGACGCATTGTCGAGCTAAGAGATTGCCCTCTACGCCCGAGAGTTATGCGCCTGGGATGACTACGCCTCCTTGAATTCCCTTCGCAGGTCGCTTCTGGTGCTTCGGTACAGCGGTAACCCGTTGTTCCGAGGTAGTCCGGGGTGCAGCGCGTTAAAGGACTCGTTTTTAACATGCGGGACTCGCTATTTCATAAATCAATCTCCTCCTTCACCCGCCACCCACTTTTCCCTCACTCCGAACAATGTATCAGTCCAATATCTGCTGCTTCGTCTTGTTCTTAACACACGCGCTCGTCCAGAGCTATATAGCGAGAATTTAGGTGTTGTTACTGATTCATCATAGACTCTTCAGTTCATCGCGACATACCAGATGTCAAACATCTCTCAACACTTCTTAGAATTCTCCTTACAATTTCGTTGATTATCTCAGAAATCGGCAATTCTTGGGATACTCAACAGTTATGTGTAATGCGCGAATACTTTATATACAACGCCCTTGATGGAGAATTTCAAATGTCACCATGCTAGGAAATGGAATTGCATTTATGAAGCTTATGAGTGTACAACTCGTAATAATAGTCCGTATTAATAGTCGTTGCTTAAAATCTGTGCCCCAAATAAGACACTCATATTTAAGTTTCATGTTAGATTTGAGTTTCTCAGTGGAATTACTGCAAATATAATGTCATTTGTATCATGCATGTCAACTGAAAAATTTACATCTAACCCTAAATTCAGAACTAAGTATCAAGTATCAAGTAACGATTGTTAATACAAGTCAGAGACGTGAAAATTGTGTCACGGAACATTAGCGTGCTTCTTACATCAGTTATCATTTTTATCGTGTCGTGTGCAAAAATAAACACGCGTAATGTTTGATTGCTCAATTAAGACAAACACGTGACTCGTTTCCTTGTAATCGTTCATCAACACGAAGATACGCGTTTAATGAGACATTTTCTGTATAAACTGACTATTCTCGGTACCACTATCGATATCGAGCACGCCTCTGTTAATACCGATAATGACGCGTACATTAACGTTCCAGATCGCTCCTCCGATATCTTCGGCTTCCATTACGTTACTCTTTTCCTAAACGAGAGAAGAGGACAGTTTCGTTCGTAGCGGGAGGGCGAAAAGGGAGGAGGCGGCATTTGAGCGGTTACAGTGCCGGCGAGCGCATCTTAAACGAGAGTCCGTCGACGTAAATTCGCGGCAGTCTTCAGGGAGAGCATCATTACGGCCGTTCTTCTCCTTTTATTCGAGCGACTCATCGAAGCGGCCTTTAATTCCACGAGAGAGAAGGGAAGAGGGAGGGAGAGCGAGATAGAAAGCGAGCGAACGAGCGAGAGAGAGAGAGAGAGAGAGAGAGAGAGAGAGAGAGAGAGAGAGAGAGAGAGAGAG